GTATTTTTTTGGGGGGGGGGGGGGGTCTGTGACAATGACAATAATCAATCATTTTGAGAAATTAACTGCAGTTATGCAGCATTAAGTGAGATTACAAAATCTAAGTCTTTTTCTAGAGTTTTAAATATTTGTTCATTCATGTTGTAGTTATGCTGCAGTGATTGTACCACAGTTTTAGGCACGCTGTGTCATGTCAGGCCTAAAAAGCAAAATGTCCCGTTGCTTATTGTTTTAATACACATGTGTATGTGAGCTTAAAAGAAGACTGAAGAACACACTTTTTCTGGTGGGAGTTGGAGCGGCGTGGGTGCACTTTCAGATTTAAAACTTTGCAGGATGTTTTCATTCACTTAGAGCTGTGTTACACACTGCATGAAAGGTCATTTTCAAAAATCCATAATAGGGGCACTTTAAAAAACAACATGACACTGCTGCCTATTTTTTAATCACAGCATTGGCATTAAGATGGAAGCTCACTAGGTTTGGATTTAGTTTGCTGCTATGACACAAGACGAGCACTGCGCTTCACTCAGCACACCGTGAAAAGCACAGGACAGGCTGAGATGGCATGGGACAATCAATGACGTGGCCCCTTTTGCTTGCTTTTTCGTTGTGAACTTACGCTGGGAAGGCTGAGAGTCAAACGGCATCATAATTTTCGGTCTCACTCCCCTCCGACCGGCCAAAGTGGACACGCTCTCCTCCCCCTCATGACCTGCACACATGCAGAAAGGCGTTTATGAAACAGACTCGGTCCTGGATGCTGGGTTAGGTTTAGGCACTCTGCTCTCACCCCGTCTCTGATGGCTGGGCTCAGCGGCCGGGTCCTGGGCGGTCCGCGGGATGGGCGTCTCTGTCATGACCGGGTTGGGCTCGGGTGATTTGTCCATGGGCTTGAGCTCCACACGCTCATGATGGATCCACAGATCAGGAGGTTTCAGGTCTTTAGATGAGCTCTTGTACTTGTGGGAGCCGGTGCTGGACTTACAGGCCGCACGTTTCCTAAAATATAGAATGTTTAATTAATTTATCTTTTTTTTATTACTTGAATATTAATAAATGCTTTATTTTTTATTATATTTTACAAATATCATATACTTTGCATTATAATCAATATATTAGAATTACATAAAATTATACATATTTTATCATTTTTATATATTATTTTAAAATAATGAAACGAATATCAAATCTATCTGAAACAAGAATACGAGTGAATCCGTGTATCATTCGATCATTCGTTTTTTGATTTAATATTGAAAGTAGAAAAATTAGAAAACGGCTCCTTTTTCGTTTTTTCGTTTTTTTCCCAAAAAACGAGAAACGAGAATTCAGCTTAAATTTTCGTTTTTCGTTCATGGGTGGAAAAATGAATAAACAGCTTGAATATTCGATTTCTACACGTGGGAATTAAACGCCCCTTTCTGCTGATTGGTCAGCCAAAGATCAAACCGTGCCATCATCAGTTCTTCCGCAGTATCACGCAGCAGAATAATAGTCCTCC